GCTTATACACTCTCCTCAAGAAATACTGGAGGAATAACAAGGAGATTCCCTCTCTGTACACGGACCAGAGGGGACTCGTGAGATCATTACAATAAAGGTTGCAAGCAGCTCTAGGGTTTCATGTAACTGCGGACAGATCATACACTGCTGAACCTATCCTAAACAAGGTATTTTTGATAACTAACACCGGGCGAGCGTGGAGCAGGTACCACCAGGCGAGGTTGGACCCCGACCTACCCCTTTGTATGTATATATATATATCTATTTAACTGGTTGTCTCATTGAGAACTATAACTAACTAAGTTTATCACCAATATCGATCAAACGAGCCGTAGAACCTCTGAAATCCACTAAATAGCTTATTAAGTCTAGTCTTTGTGGTCTCTCAATGGACAGTCCATTGCAGAGTGGATAAAATACATTAGATATAGTTTAAGAACTTATGTAAGTACATGGTAGATTGTTATGAATGTCTGATGTCTATATAATTCTAAGATTCATGCTAACTTGTGATTTATAAAAACTCTCACTTTAAAACTACTATATTCAGCTTAGTTAGGAGAGTGAAAGTTGGTAAAATATAGTATAACATTTCTTGCCCACTGGGGGAATTTGTATAAACTCTAACATTAAAAATTACTGTATTCAGCCTCGTTGTGACATGTTGGGTCAGTGAAATATAGTTATAAGGTTTCATGTCAACTTGGCAATTTATATAAACTAGAACTTAGAACTACTGTATTAATATTCTTTAGAATCCATAGTTGGTGAAATATAATTATAGCATTATTTGATTTTTTAGTTTTCTTTCATTGCTTCCCCTGCTCTCTGAGGTAGAGTAAAAGAGGGCAGTGGAGGAGAAATTTACATCACAGTGCGCTGGTAATGGATGGCCGGTAAGAAGTCTTTAAGATCCAGAGAGAACCGCTTATTATTCCTTCTTCTTATAAGTAGGAGCGCCGGTCGCTGAATGACATAAACAAATATCAACTAAACTATCAAACTTACGAACTAGGAATGATTGCCTATGGCTCATTGCCATAGCAACTGTCTATCGAGATTTCTGACTTTAAAGTCGATATTACAGCAAAACTTTCCAATATCTTAACAAAATAACACATGAATCTTATATAATAGACTTGAACTAATTGAATAATGTGAAATAACACTTATACGTACACTTTTGTAACTGTTCATAATTCAACTGTTCATAACGTCGCACTGCAATCTGTAAGTTTCTTTTCTTGTTATTTTCGGGCGTCTCGATACGTAAAATTTACAATTATGAAGTGTATCAGTGTAATAAATAGATCACTGCAATAATGCCAGGAGGTAGGTAGGTTGTTAATCCCTTAATGGACCAAAAAAAGGTGTTTTTATTGTACAGACGATTTTTTTCCTAGTGTAAATAAACTTCCTACATCAACAGATCCTGTGTTTAGTGAAATCAAAAATATGCTACCATGTCCTGTTTCCGAAAAAGCATTATATTTATCTGTGAAAAAGAATTTTAAATATTTTTTTGACAAAGTGGATGCTTGTGATGAAGATAGTCCCAAAGAATTAAAAACACTGACTGGAGATTCAAGCTTTAAGTCAATTAATTTTGAGTTTATGATAGATTTGTATCAGTGGGAGAAGATTCGGCCAATCAGTAAGCACATGAAAGTTACTCAAAATTCTAAGTCTGTCATAAAAAAGAAATATCGTTTACCTAAACACATGTGGGCTCACATACTACGAGAAGAAATTTTAAAGCGACGAGGAAACCATGCTGTTGGATCTTCAAGCAATATTCTATTATGAATGAGGTCAAAATAACGTGTAAAAGTCTTTGTAAACAATGCAACGCATCATTGATAGTTGTAATTACTTGGCCTATTGACAAAATTGCCCGATGTGTATGTACAATTACAGATTTTAAGAATTCGTTTCTTCATCGCCCTGTCAAAAAAATTAAAATGCCGCCAGGAAAACGAGTAGATATATCAGCAGAACTGAAACACGAGTCTGCTATTAAATATCGCAATATTCTAGCTCATAAAATGATGAATAATGATGATATTGAACCGCCACATTTGCCAACTGTTGGTGCTCTAAGGCTAATTAAATATGAAGAAAAACAAACTTCAAATTACGATAAAAATCAGATAATTTCACTCTGGATAATGACTAGCATCAGTCCTTATAGGGAAGCTATTATGCATATTTCTTTACATCCATTTTATTTGTACTATTGGACGCCCCTTCAAGAAGATTTGTGTAAAAAATATAAAAAAAAGAATAGATTAGAACTAAGTGTGGATGCTACTGGCAGTATTTTCAAAGAATTTGAAATGTTCACGTACGAGAAAAATAAATAAACCAACATCGGACTTTACAGATGATTCGATATTTTCTGATACACCAAGTTTCACAGAAAACTGAAGAGGACAGGGCGTACCGAAGAGTAAAGAAATTAAAGTTGCTTCAAAAACTATTTTCTTACTCTCTAATGGAAGCAAATATATTGGCAACAACTTTATTCATATAAAGAACACTTGTTCATTGGATTCGGTTACTCAAACATTAGCCGTAGTATACGTTGATGAACTTAATAATGTTATAAATCAGACTATGAAAAATAGTGATCATATATTTTGCGAGCTGATCAGATCATTGGATGAAAAAAAAAATGTTGAGGTTTATAAGATTAGACATGTAATTGCTCAAACTTATTTCAAATCAGATCAAAAAGAAACTACAATTGAAATTGATTGCCAATGTAACGTTTTATATATTTTCGACCGAATTTTACTTGATTGCTCGCTACATAGCGCAGATAAGAAACAATCGTGTACCAACCTAGTTTGCCCCATAAATAACGTCATTAGAAAGGTATCCGTTTTGCGTGTTCCTAACATACCTATCACTAATTTACAAGAAGCCGCAAATTCACTAATTGCAAATGTTGATGTGACAACATGCCATAGTTCCAGTTGCAATGGGATCAAGTCATTTGAATTAACTTTACGCGATATTATTGCTTTTGAAACTTCAGATGACTTTATGTCGCTATACGACGCACCAGTAAAGTTAGTTTTAAACAATAATCACTATGAATTAATTTCAATTATTGAATTTGTTCCACCTGGATTTGGTGAAATGGGCCATTACAAGGCACATTGCAAACGTGGGAATATATGGCAGTGTTACAACGATCTGAATAATAGAATTCAAAAAGTAATAAGTAATAGCACATTGTATAATATATTTAAAGAGAAGAAACACATTTTTTTATTAAATTATTATTGTTAGTCAATATTTGTTTTATTTATTGCATTAATCACTTTAAATAAGTCTGGGTATTGCATAAGCAGGAAGTGGCGCCTGTTCAAGCAATACCCATTATGCACTTGATTTCGAATTTGCTCGTATAATTCTACAGGCGTACAGTTTTAATAATGTCTGAACGCTCAATTGATTATAACTCTCTATCCTTAAAAGCTGGGAGGTCCAAAACGATATATATAAAGGTAGCAATCTAGTAGCAACTATTGCTTTAAGAAAATCTCCATTTAGTTACGCAGTTTGTTCTCACTGGATTGGAGTCAGAATGGCTGGTCACCCTAAAAAGTAGTTTATTTTGTTTTAATGGGGGGTAGCAACTATTTAACGATTAGTAGCAACTAGAAGCAACTAGGTAGCAACTTTCTATAATTATTTCGATGTAAAATATGGGTAGTGACCGGCCATTCTGACGCTCACAACTTTTGGATAGGTTTCGGCCACGATTTTGATCGTGTTGTTGTATCTAGGTTATTTAATATCGTTTTCCACAGATGAAAAGGCAACTATTCAAATTACATTCCTTAACTGAAAATCCAGACGTTATAATGTCGTCCTTGTATAACAAATTGGCAAAGTTTTGATTACTTCTTTATACGTTAATAATAAAACAAAATGCTAATCAATTAAATTACATTCAAAGGCAACTCCAGTGAATTTTCAAATGAGCCAATTAGGACAACACTTGAAAGCGTTGGTTGTTAACGCTTAATTATTTAAGCGTTCTTGTAAAGACATATGAAAAGCGAGTCACTGAAGAACTTGTAATTTATTTCAAAATATTGCGAATATCGTAAGTAGTAGTCAGAAACGCATCTTTTTTTTTAAGATTTAAATATTGCATCGTTAATCAAATGTATTATCTTAATTTTATACGTTTTTTTAAAAAAGGTACATGTTATAGGTATTACGATTTATTACTGGCCCGAGTGTCAATGATCGAACATGGAAAGCTCGTTCTCTGGCACTGCAGCTACAAGATTAGGTGGATTCAACTCGATTCCGGGTTAAGCGATGGGGGATGGGGAGGGAGAGAAGATTGTTATAAGGATTAGATTTTACCTGACGAATGACTCATTTCTAGCGTTTAAGCAGATGGCGTTGCATTCGTCTGACCCTCTATCGACGTTTGATACATTCTGCTCAAGTTTAAATGAGAAACACCCACACCTTTTACTTGAACTTGCCTCGTATGATCACTTTCTGAACCACATGAGCTTCTCTTCTTGCATGTCACTTTTAAGGCGCTGTCTGACGACCTGTGTAGTCGCGGGCGAGGCCGCGCCATGCAGGGTTGCCAAACGTATGAGAATCTAACGTTTGAGATTTAGCAGTTTCTATACACGATCCAAGGTAAATAGAAATGTCGTACACTTTGTGATGGCATATTGAAGCTGTACTTACTGAGTCGATCCTTTGTGGACTGGACATTTATTTACTTTCTGATAATATTTTTGGTTTGCGTGTATGACACAAACTATCAACATTGTTCAAATATCTTATCAAATTAACAAAAAAAAAGTTTGGCAACCCTATGAAGCGCCTCTGCCCGCGACAATCAGGTCGTGGAGAGCACCTTTAGACGCCTATCGTGACGTCGCCATTCTCGTCGAACTTTCAAAGCACGTGCTGTCTTCACGATAACAATATATTTCATACCAGTAGGTACTCACAGTGACAATCTCGAGCATTTCCTGTCTGGAGATGTATCCGTTGCCATCCAGGTCGTACATGGAGAAGGCCCACTTGAGCTTCTGTTCGAGCTTGCCGCGTGACGTCACGCTCAGCGCACACAGGAACTCTCGGAAGTCTATCGTACCGTCCCCATTTGCGTCGAACGTTCGGAACACGTGCTCTGCAAACTGGAAACGCATAGGTACATGACTGTCAAATATCATCATCATCGTCATCAGCAATCAATGTCCCCACTGCTGGGGCACAAGCCTTACGTGTTGGTGTTATCAAGAGATTAGACCAAAACCCATCATGCGGGCCTAGTGCGAATTAGTGACTGCAGAGGCAGCCAGGACTAACATGCTTTCCGAATCGTGGAACTCGAGAAAATAAGTTTTTAGTCACGATACGAGGTCAGAATGCGCTAAATGTCACATATTAAGTCATCGTGTAATTGTACAATCATCATCATCAACAGATTGATCCATTGATTTGCATAGACCTAAGTGTCAGTTTGATTTCCATCTAAGTGCTATAGTAAATCTTCTTCTTCTATTTATATAAAAAACTAACGGCTGGGCAGATTTAGCTGATTTTGGTTTTAGAATGTTTGTCGTAGTCCAGGGAAAGTTTAAACGGTGAGAAAATATGGAAAAATTGCGAGGAAGATAGTAAAAAAATCAATTTCGTTTTCCCATGTAAACTATTCTATTCTACTTTCCTATCAAACATTTGACGTTCGTCCCTACGGTACGGTAGACGCGGGTCCATCATTTCTTCCAAATTATTGTAAACGGTACGAAGTACACCGGGTCAGCTAGTCGTTGATGCCAATGGATTCAAAATGACTGACAATATCAGTGATATCGTCGGATATCTGTATTTGGGAATAGGTATCTAAAGGAAAAAAGCTCTTATCATGGACTGTCTTCAATGAAAAGAAATCTATCTCGTAGGTCATAAATTTTGTCACATGTTTAATATAAAATAATTGAAACAAGTTTATTCATTATGTAACCATTTATATACCAAAATGAACTTAACAAAACAAAGATTCTTATGACGATAAAGTTTATTCAAAATGACCTCTGGGATTTTGAATACAGGCATTCAATCTGCGCGGATAGTCGTCTATCGCAGCACCAACGAGGTCCATGTCAATATCGGCGGCTGCCTTAATCACGGGTGCCTTGAGTGACTCCAAATTGGGACGAGGCTTTGAGCACGCCTTTTCCTCCAAGTGTTGTCATATCTTGTAATCTAACGGACTCAAATCTGGACTGGAGGAGGGCCAGTCTTCGTGCCGGATGAAGTCGATTTCACGCGCCGCCAGCCAGTCTTGTGTGTTCTTCGCTCTATGAGCTGGCGCCGAATCTTGTTGGAATACCCAGTGCCTTTTATTGAACATGGTATGAGAAACGGGTTCCACAAGGTTCGTCAGGACTGTATTTTGATACACAACTGCATTCGTTTTTAAACCTTTCTCACAAAAATGTACCTCTGTTAAGCCCCAATAAGAAACTCCCAACCATACCATGAGCGAGGATGGAAAATGACCTCGTTGGACACGCGGAATACGGTTGCTCGCTTCTTCACTACTGTGTGCCTATTCCTTATCATTTTGTTTGTTGTAGCTCTCTTCTACGGTAAAATTTTTTTCATCCGAAAAAAGAATTTCCCGATATTTTTTTCCGCGTAACTACCACTTCAACAAAGCGCGGCATCTCTTCAGTCTCAGATCCATTAGACGAGCATTCAAACGATGTCCTGTTTGTCTTCGATATGCCCGAAGCCCTAAGTCTTCATTTAACACCCTTTTCACCGTGGTTCTGCTTAACCCCATCTGAAGGGCCAACAGTTTCTGCTTACGTTTGGGATTTCTTTGTATTCGCGTCTTCACAGCTTTTATCACTGCTGGAGTCCTAACAGACCGAGGGCGACCACATCTTGACCTGTCATCTACATTAGAGTCTCCATCGTATCGTTAGATGGTAAGATAAACGAATCTTTTGGTTATATTCAAAATTTTCAGTATGTCAAAAATTTGATTTGGCGCGTAACCACAACGATGCAACGCAATAACTGCAACACGGTCTTCTTTAAGCGTCCACTCCATATTTAAAAATGAGTAAAATTCAAAAAAGTATGCATTTTTATTTTCATGAACAATTCGAAATTCGAATACAATAAACTTTTTTGTGGCCAGCATTCTAAAAGAAAAGTTTTTACTGTGTGACAATACTTATGACCTGACTGGTTATTCATACCTTACTAGCGTCTCCATATGGAAAGAAATTCCCATATATTTTCTTGAATTCTTCTACGGATAGATGCCCGCTGGGACAATCTTTTAGAAAACCCTTATACCATTCTTGTATTTCTGCATCTGTAATATTTTTAAATTAATTAGATACTTACCAAATTTGTAGTTTGTATACAATTTTAATAAAAATAATGACAAAAAAAAATATTTAATCGATATGATAATGAAGATTGAAAAGAAAAGTTTTGATTCCTTCTAATATAACATAAAATCGACGAAGGAAGTTTTGAGCTCAATAGTGAGAAAAGTTCCAAGACTAATACGAATATGTAATATTTTTTTCTGAATCATCTCTAGAATGTCTCATTTTAACCAGAAATGAGACATTATAGAGATGATTCACCTTACCTGAAAATTCTGTATTCTGCTTCAGATCTTCTAAGACCTCTGGTTTTAGTTTGCTATTTTGTTTACCCATTTTTATTGTTTATTTAGAATGCGATAAAGGACGTTTATATATTTTGCACAACCAGCACTGCTTTAATTAGTCAATTCTTGTGCCCTAAAACACAAATATTATTATATAAAACAGATTAAATAGAAATCTATAACAGATATACATATTTTAGAACATTCTAAAAAGTGATTTTATAAATTGGAATGATATACCTTGTCCACTCAGTCTAAATAAATATTGCCGCCAAATTAACTACAGTAATGTTAAAAATTACCAATAAAAGCAAGAGCAACGAAAAAAGGCATTTTATCAACTAACGAGACAAATTACGCACTATTTTTGTTTTCAATCTGTATATTATACATGAATAGGCAAAATGTGAATCATTAAAAATATGTTACTCTTAGACATACAACAGAGACAGGATGGGGACATCGTGGTTAGTCTATCTAATAAAAGTGCCTATTAAATATACTAGTTATGACAACGGGTAGGCGGCGTTAAGGCCGCCTCGTTTCTTGTAAATAACGAGTATACCATGCGTGATTGGAATATGTAAGCCTTTATTCAGACTTGAAGATCCTTTAAATGAAATTTACTAATACAGTTTCGTCAAAACAACCTTCGATATTCCTAAAATGTGGGTAATCACGTTTAAAGCTTTTATATAATTAACAAAATATTAATTCTCGTAGCGTACTTAAATAATAAAAGTTACAGCACTTTGAATTTTACTCCTGGTAGTAGTATTCAATAGACTCACTTCTACCTTTTATTCGTTAGTAAAGTACAGTCTAGAACTAACACTTCTCGACTTTGAATTATTTGACAAATCGATTAATAACTACACTTTTACTTTGCAGAAAGGAAGGCAACCCCTAATACAAAAACGCTGGGAAAAATGACAAGTCTAGATTGAAAATTTATAAAATAATAGTGTCACCTGAAATCTTTTAATTTATGACACCTACAAAAAGAACACACCAGAATTGCCCTTTTTTAATACTTTGAAAAAGGCATATTGCAATTTTTTACCTATCGTTCGTGAATTGAGGTTTAGATTAAGGTAATTTTCATGGAGTCTTGAGGGATCAGCTACTTTATTTGGAACGTTTCTATTGTCACTTAGTGCTTTCAATTTTGCTAAATTCACATCTTAAAATATATTGTAAGTACTAAATGTATCATCTATATTAAATAAATTTTCCATTGTGTCGTAAATGAATTGTGCTTGTTTACTATGTATTACAATTTAGTATGCAGTTATTGCTATTACAGCTACACAACTAACACAAAATTGTCATGAAATATTTTGGTTTGTATATAATAAGGTTGTAATTTCAATATTAAGTAAGTATATTTAATTGATTTTCAAAATTGCCAACACGTACTTTTTTTATTTTAGACATATTTTAAAGCCAATTTTCCAATCTTCATTAACTTTCATATAAAACGATAAATAAATAATATATAAGGTGAAATTGAATGTTTTAATAAAACTTCGTGGGATTGTTGTGTTACGTAGACAGGTTGTTTCTTATAGGGTGTCAAGCCAGTGCGAGCTGACAGCGTACCATACTAATTATGTATGTTCTACGATTATGCGTAGTTTTCGAGCTAGAATTCTTTTTCGTTATTTTTTAGGTTCAACGATAAGACAACTTTAAAAAAGTATAACTTATTTTTGGGTCAATTTTTCTTCGATTTTTTTTTTAACAAAATGTCTTACGCTTGCAGATTTATAAGTAAAATAATCTCCACAATTTAATTTTTTTTTAAAGTCCTTTCGTCCATTTGGGTACTAAATAATTATTCTTTTTAAACACGCATACAATTACAGAGTAAGTAAAAAATAACTAATAAGCACTACTAAGAAAAACGGAAAAACAGAAGACGGCCGGCCGGGAGCAATGACCGCTCCCGCCGTTGAATACCTATCTACCTAAGCGCGGTGCAAAGCGCAGTGAGCGAGTGCAGTCTCAAGTCTATCCATCGCGCGTGCGTATCTTTTAACTTTGTGACAAGACAAGATTTGCAAATAATGCATCCATTAGTTCTTGTTATCTGGCCTCAATATAAGAATTTGGACATGATGTGTTGTTATTGCGAGTGTGACGAAATACTCAGCAGAGGTTTGGTGATTAATTCTGTTTACAAAGTGTATACGGGAAGTTATAGTGAAAAAATGCATAGGTACATCGGTCTCGCAAGTACTTTTGAATATCTGGTAATAAATTTCTATCTGATTCAAGTATTTAACTGCAATAAGTATTTGTTTTTGCTTAACATTTGCCTGTTTCCAATCGTGACAAAATTATTTAAATTAATCATATTTTTTTAGGTTTTTCTCTGTTTAAGAGAAGATAGCATTTGTGCTTATTATTTCAATAAATTTGGCATCTAAGACGATTTTATTGTACTGTGTGGAAACAAAGGAGTCAGCTAAACTCTGTGTACCTACTCACTCAACGGCTGGCGGGCGCGGTAGTTGACCCGCGGTGCCCGCGCCCGCCTAATTTTACTGTTTTCCGTTTTTTTAGAAGTGCCTATTTATTAGTTGTTTTTCACTGGATATGTAAGTATGCGTGTTTAAAATTAATTAACTACTCAAAAGGAGGAAAGCACATAAAAATACACAAATTATAAATATAAACATGAAAAAAAAAATCTTCAAAATAATCCGAAAAAAATCAAGCATACTCTATACAAGTAACCAAATAATCCCTCAAAGTTTCATTAAAACATTAAATTTCTCTTTATATAATATAAAAATCTGTCCAATTAGATACTTTTATTGTGTGTACTCTCTTATTAGCAATTTCAATAAGTTTCACGACCAATGTTTCTCTTTCATTTAATTCATTATTAGTAAAGAAGGAATGATCCCGAGGACTTTGTTTATCATTAATATTAGTTTTCTAGTGTCAGGGGTAGAGAGAACTGATCAGAATTGACACTAAAATATTGGAATTTGAATCTTATTGAAGATTGATAAATTGGTATTTAATTTTGACTACAATCATAACATGTGTTTTTAAAATAATCTTCAATTTGACTGTTCAGGTTTAACAATAGCTTTTGCAGAATAAGGACTTAGCAATACGTGATAGTAAGTTACTATTTTATTTTAAACTACTATTATGGGCATTACGTTACCACGTATTGTATATTGGTAGAAACAACATATTTTATTAATTTTTCGTACTCGATCACTAGTTAATCATGTTATATATGAATATTTATAAATAATATAAAATATCGTTAGTTACGCGGCCATATTAAAAAAAAACATTTAAAATAGGTTTCAAAATTTACATTTGATTCCATCAATTTAGGTTGTTACATTGTAAAGCCATCTTTGTCAAGTTGATGTTTAACTATAATCAGTAAATTAATTAAAATGCAAGAGTATGATTGTAGCCAAAAAACCCTTAACCCTGATTACAATAATACACATCTATACTAAAAATACTACTCTGTCATTTATTTTCATGATTTACTGTTAGGCTCACATAATATGTTATGTCACGTAAAAAATATTACCACATTAGAATTTGTAGGAAAAAAAATGTATTAAATCTAATAAATATTGACAGAGTAGTATATGCTTACATATGATATTCATTAAAAATGTTACTTGAGAAACGTAATGTAAAAAATTTGTTCATTTAACGATTTAAAATAATGTCTCTTAACAAATTCGGAAACAAATAAATGCAAATTTTCATGAACATTAAATTCACCTCTTTGTGCGTTGCCAGACATTAAAAAAAACTGTTTTTATAATATTTTTTTTACATCAAATAAAATAACATGGCACAGTATCTGAAACATAATATCTTAACTATTAAACATGGCAACATCTTCACAATAAAGTATACGCCACTACAGAGAATTGAGATATTTGAAAGATAAGGAGATTGTATCGATTTAGATTCGTGCTGCGTATGTGCGTATTAGGTTAGTTTGAAGGATTTTCAAGCGATATAGAAGATAAAAAGCTATAAATACAGCTAAATTCTTATAACGACTACTGTGTATCCTCTTTAATGACAAGAGCAACTGACACTAGGCCTGGATCGCGTTACAACGTAAATGCAATGAAAACATAATTGACGGATATATTCAAAATTCCATTTCTCATTTGGTTCATTGAGATATGTATAATACATTCAAGTGATTTTTAATGATTTCTTGCGTAAAACTTAAAGTATGTATTTTTTCTACTTTATGAAAGCCGATGCGCGCATATTACCGACTATTAAAAAGTTGATAGTAGGCATTCGAATTTAAATTTCGATATTGTGATATGTTATACAACACCCTGTCTACGAGAACTACCTTCAGGTCCAATAATTGAGTACCATTGATCCCTCTTCCCTACTTTTAAAATTCAGTCATTTTTCAATAATTAATATGTCCTATTTTTCTGCGCCATTCTCGTTAAAAAGTTTGTTGCATTATATTGAACTATATAAATACCTCTCATTTAGAGTTTGAAAAGAACTGTGATTTATATTTCACAACATTATCAAAAATTAACGTATTTAAATAAGTTTTTAAATTGTACAACAATAATACTGACAATCTAGTATAAAATTACAAAATAAAATACTGAAAATTAGAATACTAGAATAAGCATGCCATTACAACATGTTATAAAATACTTAATTAAGTACAAACTATTTAATAACGTTTTCATAAATGTGGAATGTACATGATAAACATTAAAAGTTCAGTAAAGTATCAGTTGAGTTAGGGTAAGTTATTCAGTGCAGAATACTTATAGCTATTTCCAAAAAAAAAATTAAGACCCATATTATAAACGAAAACAAAAAAATTATATCACACAATAAAGTAGGTAACGGAATATTAAAATTTATAAAATTATAAATTAACTAACCTAATATTGAAATATAACATTTTATGATATCACTTCTTGTGATGCTAAAAGAATAATCATACTCTATTCTCGTTCACAACTTTATACAATTGAAATAGGTATAATATGTCTATCTTGGAAATAGGTAGGTGCTTGAAATTGACCTTTTTAGGATGAAAACAAAAACAGCTTATGTAAAGCTTACGTAAGGATGAGCATTTGTTCGAAAGGGGCTATTTCCTTGTAAATGTTGATAAAATTAAAAAA